ATTTCCGGAATAGGATGCTATGGATTCCTGACAGTCGTGCATATAGGACGTATAAAACCTAAATCTCTCGATCCCGTTTGAATTGTGCCATGAATTACACATATGATGTTTGTCAATTTTAAAAAATCATTTCCAAAGGTAGCTTTGCATGACATTCTTCTGGACGTGTTTCATTGTGGTGATAGTGAGGGTAGTCAATCGTTTTGTTGACAAGACAGTAGTGACGGCCATCTTAGTGACGTGTGTTGTTCTGCGAGACTAGAGATGTAGTTCATTGAGAGTTTCACACAAACAAATGTGTTACTTCACAGTTTTACGACACTTATTTTTTTTTTGACATGCAAAATTATCTTGTAATTGTCAAACATCATATGTGTAATTCGTGGCACAATTCAAACGGGATCGAAAGATAATCTTTCTCTCTCCATTCTTCAATACATAATTTTTTCTAAATAAGGTCGCATGGAGGTCCACCGGAAGGGGAGGAACTTCGCCACTTATAGGCTTTTAAAGTTGGTTCCAGCCCCTGCCAAGAGAGTGGTGGAGGAATACAAGCACATTACTGTATCTCGCTGCTACAACAAAATCAATCTGAATATTCCACTGTGTCTGTGCCAAGTCTCCAAACAAAGTGCTGGCAGCCCGTGTGCTCGACTGATCAGACAGTGCTGCGGGCTGAAAGAGCGGCTCTAATGGGCTTTCAGATTTACGGATGCTTCTGAAGAAGATATTTTGATTCCTGGGGGAAATAAATATGTTCTTTGTAATCATTCAAAGCATTTTGCTCACTCTAATCCATGGCTGGCTATGTGCAGTATGGTAGGGTCATTAGTCGGAGGTCTTACCGTTAAAGTATATCCAACAAGTGGAAAGCGCAGCAAAATGTAATGTGATATTACAAATGGCTCAGGCAGGGCGAGGTGGTATTGATTGTTGATGAAAGCCTGCACCTCGTCCGCTTTTTCCACCACTGGGACTCACTAAGCCTTTCTGCTGATGGATCCTGTTTATTAGGTGTACCCTGTTACAAATGTTGCTGGTCGGCAAAATAAGATCAAAACAAACACACTGATTAACACTGTGTGTATATGTTTTATGTGTGTTTGTGTGTGGTATAGTAGTTCACACACTTATTTGATCGCAATGCATGACTCGAATGAGAAAATATAACTTTGTCCTTGAAAATGTCCGTTCTAGTCTCTCATCATGATATCCCCCATAGGGAATTTGGCTCATGACCTATTTTGGGCCATAATCCATATTTTTAAAGCAACAACCAGGACACAACTTAAATATGTTCCTCTGGCACTTATGCAAATACATTGTAGTTCAGTTAACAATAGGACAGATTGGAATATCATCTCATGACCCATTGTGTTTACTGACATTGTACCTGCTTCAGATTTTAGGTTTTTCTCTACATCATTAAATATTTGTGGTGGCTGATGTAGGGACCCATTACTCATAGTGAAAATGGCTGACTGAGGAAATATTTCTAGAGCCATTTGAAGTTGCTGAAACTAAGTTTTACTTTTATATTACATACGTATTACAAACACAACTGTCCAGTGTTGTGGCGTCTGAAAAACAAGATTCTCTGGATTGTTTTTTAAGTCTCTCCATTCATGTACCCGTTTTTTTAAAGGGGCCCTATTAGGCTTTTTTGGGGTTTTCCCTTTATTGTGTGTTATATAGGTTTTTGTATGTAAATGGCCTCCAAAGGCTGAAATCCCAAAGTTCACACCAGAGGGAGTTTCTCTTCCACACACTCCCCCGAGCCTGAAACACCTCCATTGTACTTCTATTGGCTAGACCTTCAACACATTGTACGTGATGGAGGGCAAGACATCTCTAAGCTATTGACCAATCACAACAGCGCTTGCCAGCTAACCAATCAGAGCAGACTGGGCTCTGGTTTCAGACAGAGGAGCAACAGCACAGGCAGTATGAGAAAAATAAAGAGCTTTTTGAACATTAAAGCATGGAGACATGTCAGAGTAGAAGCCCTAAATACTAATATGAAACTGAAAATGAAAATGAGCATAATATGGCCCATTTAATGCAGCACCGTTAAAAAAAACAGTTTCATACTCATCAAACCTACGGGAGCAACTGCATTTGTTATATTTGGTAGTCTAGTATCACCCTGCAAGTATACCTACTCTTGAAGATAAAGATAACTAATCTTAAGAACAAAAACAATAGATTATCCTAAAGAGATTATAGAAAAAAACCATCTGGGACAGGTAAGCAAAATAAACAACAACTGATTATACAAAAAGTTTTAAAAATGATGACCTGTGGGCAATGTAACTTTGAGCCTCTCTTAAATGCGTTAAGAGTGTATTTTCCTGAACTCAAACTCCTTCCACACTTAAGGTGGGGTTTGTTTGCTTTGAGGAACACTTTGGCTCTTTGTGAAGCGGGTCTTTAATAATTGATGCATTGGGACTGCAGATCCCAGGGTGGAGGACAGGGCAGGTAAATAGGAAGGAAGCAAGCTTCAAGCCATTGACTGTGAACTCCGTTGAACCGCAGTGTGTGTGTGCGTCTTCATTGTGTTGTGTACAGTAAATGTGAACAGTCACTTCTTCTTACACACACATAAATGCACATTACTTATGTGGCATTGTAAGTGCTCACACTGTACATGTCAGCATTTACCCAATCATTTATGCACACAAATATGAGGTCATATTTAGAAGGAAAAAAATATGAGTCCTCACATCTGAAGCAATCTCTGCCACTGCAAACACAAATGGCTGCTTCATCCCTCCTCATATAGCCGTAAAGAAAAATGGTGGCAGGGAGGATTCTTTTGTAATTAATGTGTGCAGAAGGAGCTTTGCTGCCACCACCTCTGGGGAGCTGCTCAGGGTCACCTAGCCTCGCCTTACCAGCCTCATATTGACTGTAGATAAAGCAATAAAAGCACACAGCGCTGTCAGGGTCAGCGTGTTACATGAAGATTCATCTCTCGGTGGTAAGCTTTATTGAAAAATAAAGGAATTCTCATGTAAGAAAGAACAGACACATTTGATTTATTTATCCTCTATTTATGCAGGGGGACTTTATAATTTACAATTTCTTCATATTACATTGTTTTTGTTTTCAATAAATAAAAACCCATAGGTTATGCAATGAAACTTAAGAAAATGACAGTATGACCTTTTAAGAGTCATAAGCACTAAGCATAATATGTAATGTTTATTGGAAAATATAATCCTCATGATAAAAAAAAAGACATGTGGCAAGCACATACACCAGGGTTATATCCAAACCGGGTAACAGTGGCGCTGCGCCCTCTTACATACCAAATGCAGATTCTATTCTTCAAAAAAAGTTTAATTACTCGAACAATATGAAGATCGTGTCAATCGACCGTCTGACGGCACAGAAAGCTTTATTTTTACAGAGCTACGATGTTGCGTTGTTCTTTATGTCCGCGGCGCCATATTGTAAACAGGCGTCATGTTTTCGCTAGAATTGATATATCTTATAGATCAGCGCCACAGTATTGCCCTCATACTATATTTGTCTTGAAAAACCCCGTACTCTCAAGTTTATTCTACTCTTTAGTCCTCATCTATGTGTCTCTATTAGCTGAACAGTGACAAATACTCTGCAGTTTTTTTTTGTTTAAACATAAATTCAGCCCAGCCAATTAGTGACACTAAATGTTCAATAAACTTGAATACAACACATACTAAAGAGGCATTTTATTTAGAATCAATGGCCTGCAGCCAGTTTGGATCGTAGCAGTGGACACAGGCATGGAGCCAGCAGGCAGGGGGGCAGCCAAAGCTCTCTACAGGCCTAAATGCAATATTATTACACACAATTTACAGTAGAGCAGGGGGGGTGTGAGACTGACCGTTGAGCGGCCCGACCAAGCAAGGAAGCAGAGGCAGAACGTCCAAAAATATAACCCGACGTGACGTGGGCATTTATTAAAATAATGTGCACAAAGTTCACAGCCTCAATCCTGCTGTTCTCCGTGAACACATACTGCAGCCACAAAGATCTCACACACACTCACTCTACCAGCCTCCAAACAGACAGGGCAACAGAGCCTAAATACACACCCACACTAATCAAACCAACAGGACAAGGGTGAGGGGGGAGCATTAGACACAGGTGAGGGAGGAGGAGACAACACAGGGCACCAGGTGCACACAACCAGCAACAACATACATAGGGAACAGGGAAGTTGTAGTCAATATACCCCACACAGTACAATGACTACATAAACACGTTAACGAGAGCTCCAGTAACTGCGTCTCGTTACAGGGGGGATTGATTCTGTCCTGTATTTTGATTAGATAAAGATGGAGGTGAGGCTCTTAAAGATGAGAGGAGGAACACAACTGTATGTGTATCTGCTGGTGATGCTATAAAGCCATTTATTTCTTTAAATATGTGAAATGATTGGTTTGCATGCCATTCCTCTTTCTCCTTTTGTATCCATCTATTTAACTTTCTTTATCTTGCTTTCAACGGTCCAATATTCCTCCTCCTGCCTCCATTTTTATTGTTGCTATTTCTTTTGGATTGCTCCTCCCTGTATACAGTAGCCTTCACGTACTGAAGCAGGGGTTTTGCTCTTCTAAAGCCACATGTTTGTGCATCTACTCTAGTAACTCTGTTGGACATTGAACAGGTGTACCCGATCAGATGAATTAGCTCCACTCATCTAAGCTGAACAGAGGTCTTATCAAGCAGAATAAATGAATACACCTGTGTGTGCCTTTTTTTGTAATGTCTCATTTGGCTGGGAGAATTCTAGCTGGATATTGAATATCTAGATTAAATCATAAATTAGAGAAATGATCAATAAATTAGCTGACATCAGGATAACATGTTTAAATCGACTGGTGAGTAGCGTTTAAAAGCAACAACATGCAGAAGTGCTTCTCAGATATACAGTATTTGGCTGTGAATCATGCTGGGTTACTGCTAGCACTAAAACCCATGCAGAGTGGTCGTGAAAGATGCAACCTATATTGTGAAAATACAACTTTGCTGTAGTCTGTCTTTTTATTATTAGGGGTGTTTTTTTTCATGTTATGTTCTGCTGCTAAATTATCATTATGTTGTGAGAGATTAACAGAGGTTGCTCTATAAGATTTGACTGGTGTAAGGACTTTATTTCAATGCTGTTTCAGACATAAAAGAATTTTATTGACGAATTGTTTTCCACTCTGATTCTATATCTAATTTCTCGCTCTCAGGTTCGTAGCCCAGAATGCAATGCGCCTGCAGAAACTGGGAGTGACGCACGTCCTCAACCTGGCGGAGGGAACCTCCTTCATGCATGTCAACACCAGTGTGGAATTCTACACGGGCACGGGCATCACGTACCACGGCATCAAGGCCAACGACACGATGCAGTTCAACATCAGTGCCTTCTTTGAGGAGGGGGCTGACTTTATCGACAAGGCGCTAGCACACAATAATGGCAAAGGCGAGTTTATTCTGACTAGGGGTGCACCGAATGGAAAATTCTTGGCCGAAACCGATACCGAAAATAGGAAACAGTTGGCCGAAAACCGAAAGCCGAAAGGCCGAAAATGATTAATAGAAATATATATATATAATGTATACATTTTTTACCAATGTTGTTCAGCTACCTGATTATGGAAAAAGACATGATTATGGCAAAACTTAACTTAACTTAAATAATAATCACTATTATGGGTCCATAAAACCTTTATTCAGCACTTTTGAATGCATACAGTACATTAATTCCAAGTCAAGTGCATTTTCTTTTCTCTGTAGGATAACTACAACAAAGTGCATTCAGAACAAAGCCAAGGTGCTTTAAAACTGCATAAACATCTAGGCCAGTAGGCCTACAACAAAATAGTGTAAATAAAGACTAACAGGCCTTCAACAACAACAAATGCACCTATAAGTTTGGTAACCTAACGTGTTGTTGTGATGATGTAATCAAAACGTGACAAGCACGGCGCGCGACCATGCTCGCGGCTGGCTCACAGCCAACATGTCTGCCACTTGGAGATATTTCAAAATATCAGAGAGAGAGGCGCCGATTGCGATTTGTAAAACGTGTTCAGCTGACATTTCTCGGGGGGGTGTAACTGCAAAGACTTTCACCACTTCGGGATTACTCCACCACTTGAAATCAAAACACCCGGACAAATATGCGGAGTATGATCAACGTAACCCTGTTCTCTGACATTC